TTTATTGGGAATTAACCTTAATTTTAGTTAAATTAATCACAGTTTCCAGTCAAAGATAGTAAATAGTATTAAAATGCCACAAGAAAGTAGCTTCAGAACATTATAATGAATGTATCAAGTACATTACAAAGGGGTACACGTTGATGTATATAGATTACAAGTTAGAAGTAGGTATATGTATAAACTCATTCTAATATAATATTTAAACAGTTTTAAAAGATCTTAGTATCAGAGTTGTAAGAAACCTTAAGAATGTTAAAATGCATCTTTCTTTGCCTTTATCTCTATGTGGGGTTTGGCTTCCATAATTACATGTCTCCTTATGTTTCTATCTGGATAATACAAATATCAATCACCCACATGTCCTGTCCAAGCATCTTCCACAAGTCTTCCTCTATTACACCTTTCAGAAACTTACAAACTAGCAATTCTGCATTTTGGGTGATAAATGTCTCAATGTTGAACATGCCCGAACAATCTTAACCTACACTCTCTCATTTTGGCATAAATCGGTGCTACTCATTTAAATCAGTCAATTCTCTACTAATATACTCAGTCATAATTTTATCCTTTTTTGTCACTCCACTCTTCCATCTAAGCATTCTTATTACTGCCACCTGTATTCATTGTTTCTTTCCTTTTTAGTACATCATAAATGGTTTTATGGCAGATTCATTGGAATCTTTGTCACAAAACACACCACACTACTTGCTTCATTACTTCATCCATTCAACTCTAATTTTACTGCTTCTATCTCCATATATTTCCCAATTACTCTGTAATACTGATTCTTGGTACTTAAAATTTACTTTTTACAATCATTTCATCATTTCAAGTCTTTAAATAAACATTCCAAATGCTTACATTTTTGTCCTACTTTAAAGTTTTTTATGTTTTCAACCTTTTTCCTTAAGAGGTTATCTCCACTGTTTCAGTTTTTGTTCTAAATACCCATTAGTATTTCCTACTAATAATACATCATGAGTATACATTAAGCACCAGGGGAGGTAATTTATTTGATCCAACACTAAAGAGAATAAGTAAGGACTACACACTGAACCCTGATGTAATCTTATTTTCTCACGAAATTTATCAATCCCTTCAACACATGTACTTAATATTAGTTACTCCCTCACAAATCCCTCCCACAATATTCGCATACTCACTAGGAACTAGTTTCTTATTCAGTACCTACACAGAATTTCGTGAGGAATTGTCATATGATTTCTTAAAATCATTCAATACCATATGAGCATTTGATTGTTTCTTTATTTACTCCCATATTTTCATGCTGTGACTAAGTAGTTTTATGGCCTTGTAGTTTGTGTATTGTTGGGTATTCCTTTGTTTTTGTAAACAGGTACTAATATACTGCTACTATATTTGCCTGGTATCTGTGCCACTTCCATAATTCTAGTAAACAAACCTGTTAGCCAATGTGTTCCTCTTCCTGCTAAAGATGCCCTCACTTCCCCAGGGTTATCATTTGGTCCAATGGCTTTAACTTTCTTTATTTTTTGAAATACTTGAACAACTTCCCATTTGTTATTTTTTGTGACCATTTTGCTTTATGTGCTCTATGTTTGGCTGTTTTATATACATATCTTTGCTTCACCCTCCATTGCAACAAAAAACGTCATATAGATTTTTGTATGCTTCATATTCTGTTTTAGCTTTTGCTATTGCTATTTTCGCTTCTTTTTTGGGGACCTTGTAGTTTTGAAGATCTGTGTCTGACTTATTTTATTATTACTGTTTGTATAGTTTGCTCTTCTCTTTTACTTTCCCTTTACTTTTGTTTCATTACCACCAGGTCTCTTTATTCTCAAACTTCTTTCCTGAGGATTTTCCAAGTATTTCAATAGCAGTATCTCTAATAATACTGACCATGTTCCTCCAAATTATATTAGGACTTTCTTTCATGTTCCTCTATATTTTTGTTCTACTATTTGTGCTGTGAATAGACCTTTCTTATCTTTTAATATCCAACACTTAATTTTTTGTGGCACTGTCTGATATTTTGGTTTTGTTTCACCTTTTACTTAAGCACAAGCAACTTATGTTGTTGGCTCAGACTCACTAACTCTTAAATTCACTTCTTACTATGATTCTCTCTTATTGAATATTATTCAGTATGTCCCCTAATTGATCATAGCAAACTTTTCTTTAATTCTCACCTAGACTGACTTAAGGAGTATAACACACATACACACAACATTCAACACTTTTTTTTATCAAATTTCCATTATTCTCATTCATCATTTATTCTTACAACTTCTACTATTTCTCTTTCAATAGTTATACCAATGTAGTTTGTATATACAATATGTGTATATACAACCTTCTTCTTCTTTGGGTGCCGTGTCTGTATTCAGACGTTGGCCGTCATCATGTTTACAATTTCCTGAAACCTTTCTCTGTTGGCTGCTGCGCGAAATAATTCTTCTACTGTGGAACCACACCATTGTCTAATATTACGCAGCCGTGAAAGTTTCTTTCGACCAATCCATCTCTTTCCTTCCACTTTTCCTTGTATTATAAGGCAAAGTAGATGGTATTTAGGTCCTCTAATTATATGGCTGAAGTATTCTGTTTTTCTCCTCTTTATGGTGTTTATGAGCAGACATTCTGAATTGATCATTTGAAGAACATCTTCATTGGAAGTGTGAGAAACCCAAGATATCTTTAGGTTTCGTCTATAGCACCACAATTCGAATGCTTCTAACTTGTTTAGCATTGTGGTTTTTAACGTCCATGTCTCACAACCATACAATAGGATGAACCACACATAACATTTCAGGACCTTCTTACGAATATTCATCAACAGGTTTCTGTTGCATAAAACTGGTTTCCAGGTCATAAAAGCCTTATGTGATATTTTGATCCTGGTTATTATCTCTTCATCAGAGTCACAATTTACATTTAACCAGCTGCCAAGGTATTTGAAGTGATTTACCTTTTCGATCTGCTCTCCATTAAGAGAAATCAGACCTTGATCTATATTGATCTTTCCATCCACTTTGTCTTTGCACTTTGTATATACAACCACACATCCCTAATTCCAGATAGTTGAAGAATTTCAATACCACTCTTAATTATACAACAACTTTAATAAAATTGAGATTTGGCCACACTTGTTATCCTGTTCATCTTGCTCAAATCAAAATACACAATTCAGACTTATGCGAAACTTGTCAAGAACAAGGAGATCTTAACCACATCTTTTTTAAGTGTTCCAAATATCTTCAGCATTCAGGACTCTTTTAAACAACTTGCAAACTCTGCAAATATTTCCTCCATATCAAATAAATAACCTACTAATAATAAAAAAGTCTATGATTGTTTGATTAAATTTATACATAGTGCAAATGTGTGTCTGTAGTCAATCTTAGCTAAGCTTGTTAACCTTTGTTTTAACTCAATTGTTATTTACCTTTCTTTCCGTGACCTATTGCTAATGTCTTAAACAAATGACCTGATGGGTCCCTGGACGAGAAGTGAGTATCCCTGTTTTCCCGATATTTGATTTTTCTTTCTATAATTTTCCCTTTTTGTTTGATTCAGTCATAGGGATTTAATGAGGTTTTTTGACTCAAACAGATACACTTTTTGCACTAGCAATTATTAGTATAGATTATACACTTATGTATGTGTACACTTGTAAAGTATGCACTTTTTTTCTTTAGTATTAATTATATAGGAATATTGATATTAGAATTTTTCTTTATTATTTCTCAACACGTAATTGGCTAAGTGCTAAAGCCACAAAAAAATTATAACAACTCCATTCCTAGTGTTACTTTTCCCCACATGCCACTATTTGTATCCTCAAAGATTCCAAGACTCTATTATGATTTTTCTAACATGTAATGGTGTTCACTCTGAAATAATCCTCACTCGAAAATTTGGAGAAAATTCAGCTTGCTTCTAGAACATGTTACATAAGGAGATACCATAATTTCAGTATAATTTTGTTGATCTTTTCATTAAGTATGACCTCAAAAGATTTTCAGACATTTGATTCCTGAATGCCTTTTCTAGCATTATGTCCTGCACACTTTGGTCAACACATCTAAAATGCAACCCAAGTGCGTTATTACCTCTCTTATAGTTTTCTACACATACCAAGATCTTTATTGTAAGGAATGCCCCATAAACCAAAATATTGCTGCCCTCATCCTGTCACTAGGGGGCACAGAGAACTAAGGGATATGTTAAACCGTATAGGTCACATAGTAATATTGTGTCCACAAATGTGTCTGACTTAATAAATTTTTGTTAATAATGTAGATAATTCAATGATGTACATTGATTTGCCCTAGTTTGCCTTAAAACACTCTATAGTATATATTGTGTATTCATATAAATTGGAATTGGTAATTGTAGATCAAGTTTAAATTTAAGATAAAGTAAATTTTGTAATTATATAAAAAAAAACAAAGTTTAGCAAACTATATAAAATATCTCAGAATAATAATAATTGATAATAAATTAAACTTAAACCAACAAAAAACATACCCAAACCATCAAATAGAAATTTTGGATTAAGGAGTAACAGTGTGTCAGAATAGTGCCGGGGGGGGGGGGGGTTAACCCCAAAACCCCCTAGGTGCGCCACTGGATTAATGAACTATTGGTTTATGACAGAATCGCGCAGAGGGTAATAACTAAAATGAGATGCCCTAAACCCATTGCATAATCCCACAACTATGCTACTGTATGGAAACTCCTCCCCAAACAAAAAAATCACATATGAACTCGAGCCTTTCCCAAACATAGAAAATAGTTTAATAAACAAAAGTGTTCTTTGTTATTTTGTTGTTAATATTAGAAATGGAAAACTTTATACAAGTAGCTACCAAATATTTTTACAAGGTAAAATGTTCCTTATGCTATAAATTTTATAGGCAAGAACTTTTGATTATAAGATGTGGAAGTTATCTTAAATTTATTTTAAAACAATTTATAAATATTAAGTCAAGATATTTTATTTCTAAAAAATGATAGATAAAGCTGTCCAACTAATCAGGATCAAAGTAAGTAAAACATTCCTAATTCTTTTTTACATGATGGTCATTCAAAAATTAAAAAAAAAATAAATAAAAAATAGTAATTTATATATTCCCTTATTTATATTGCTTGTTCATAGTGCAGTCACCATGCCTTATAACATGACTTTTATGGATTGACATCATCAGTGTAAAGTTTGTTTAGATCTATATTTTTGAACAAAAATTGAGAAATTTGAGTAAAAATGGTATTCAACACAGCAAAAAGCAAAATTATTGAATATTTGAAATAATTGAATATAGATGTAAAAGTAACTATAATAGCTACATAGTTGCAGTATTAATTTCTTGAATGCAAGAGCTAGTGTTTGACTAAATAGTGTGCAAATTTGATATAAATAAACAAATTCTGTTTTTCAGAGATAGTGGCCAACATTTTTCAGACATACTGAAAAATAGATAAATCGTGTACAGTTTTAAGAGACACAGACAGTACTATTTAAAAAGTTTATTATTGATGGTTAGGTTCAATTTGAGTGGGCGCTTAACCACCCTTCCACTCGATGTAAGAGGTCTATTGTGTTTTATTATTGATGGTTTAATTAACAAACCCCAACCAGAGAAACATTCCAATATCTTAGAGTTGTTTGATAATATAATAATAAGCACATACACTAAAATCATATTTCTGAGCAGATATTAAAATTATTTACTATTTTTTTAATTTTTCCTCATGATTTATTATAGGATCACTAACAGGAGAATTTTACTGTCTTCATTACATGTGATTGTCTTTTATCAAAGACTTTTGTGATTAAGTTAAAGTTGATTTCATGTAATCGAATTAACTATCTTCCAATAATGTCGTGCCAGGAACAGACACATAGAAACCCCTCTACAGTGATTGGAATATAGAATACTTTGCACCATACATCAAAAAGGAGATATCTTTAAATGCTGTAACTGCAGAGGAATTAAGCTTCTAAATGCAGCATATACAAATTCTTCACTATCTATGCCATGGTATGACACCATATGCAGAACAAATAATAGGAAAATACCAGATTGGTTTCAGAGGTGGTAAATCAACAATTCACCAACCTCCATCCTTTTTAGAAGGAGACAAATTTTAGAAAAAACACATAGATGATTAGCATGACTCATCACATATTTTTAGACTAGAAGGCAGCCTACGACTCTGTGAATAGAGGAGAAATGTTCGGAGCAGTGAAAGAGCTAGGACTACCAAGTCAGTTAGTAATTTTAACAAAACTACTTTCTGAACTGTCTGAACATTTTAAAACAAATAACGGGTTGCGCCAGTGAGACCTCTCTCCTATATACTTACTGTTCAATCGACTCTGGTAAAAGTAATACCTGTTAGAGAGAGCGCCCACCAAACTGGCATGGCAAGTAGCGTGTGTCTAGCATGTTACTTAAAATGTAACCAATGAAAACGAATGATTCAGCACACACACCAAAATGACAGTGACGTCATTCATTATAATCATTCGTTTGCATTGGTTACATTTTAAGTAGCATGCTAGACGCTTGCTACTTGCTACTTGCCGTGCCAGTTTGGTGGGCGCTCTCACTAACAAATCACAACCACCGCATATACGTTTATTTTAAATAATTAAAAGGTAAAATTTCAAAAGTGACGTTAAAAATACAAGGAACATTCTAGAGACAAAAATGATGGTTTGTTGTATCAAAAACTTACTATCCCCACCCCAGAACTGTTCATCGCGCACGTGTGCACGAGTAAATACATGCGCAGGTAGCTGTTAGTGAGGTTTTGTTCTCTAAGCTCAGTAGTCAACTTTTTAAAAATTTTGATATTTTGTGATATTTACCTTATTTTTTAAAGTGATTGTGATGGAATCGAATAATTCAGGTAAGAATCAATATTTCTAGAAATATTTAAAGAATATTTACGGTTATTTTATATTATTTTTAGAAAATCAAAAGCAAGCCGTTTTGTAGTGACATTTTTATTTAATTTTTATGTTTGTGACACATTCAGTTATATCCTCGCCTTCTCTCGGGGAACACTATTGATTTTTAGTACACTGCATATATTTGACTAATTATTATTGAAGTAGAATTTAGCTGCGGATATCCGAAATATAGGGATATCCGCAAAAAGAAAACTACTTAATTCTTTTAATTATATTAAGTTACTATTTTCTTTGTTTTAGCTACATCTGGTGCCTCTGACATGAAAATAGTGACCGTAAATTTCTTTATGATCAAATGAAGCAGCAATATTTGCCTAATCTAGAGTCAAACTAAAATATTTGGGAAATCGCTTATTGACCTATTATGGGGACACCTAATAGTTTAACCAGTTTAAGCAAAGATTTTGGTATTTTAAAGCGGCGATGAAAAAGAAGTGGTTAAAGGCCCAGTAGAAAAACTAGGCCTAGTAGAAAAACCGTAGGCAATTGTTGTGTGCGCGTATATTCCAGTGCTATAATTTTTAAATCGGTCCTGATGCGCCGCTCGGGGCAAACCGGCAACGTGGTCGGCTGTTCTCCCGTAAGAAATAAATTGCCTATCTTACCTGCAATGTATTCTAACTGTGGCTTCTAACCATCGAGCAAAAAGACAAAAGAGGGAATCTAATCGTTATGAAAAGGAGACCAAAAAAGTGGCCTCTCATGGCGGACATATCCGGAAAGGCGAATGCGCCAAATTTAAATTTTCCGACACTTATTAACAGTAGCTATAAAATAGTTTTCAGAATGTGTCTTAGACGAGAAACTTTAAATAAATATTAACCATAACAGTCTAAAATGTGACACAATTGTTAAAAAACTTAAATATAAATAAGCTTTCATGTGACAGTTGGGACAAACAATAACATAACCCAACTAAATTTGATTTATTAAACAAGGAAAGATTCTCTTTCCTTGTTTAATGTGGCCTCTCAAGACGGCATTTCCTGTCTAACGATATTTTTGTCCCCACTACCTTTACATTCCCTCTTTTGTCTTTTTGCTCGATGCTTCTAACATAGACGCTATTGGCAAGTAATAGAGGTTCGGATATATTTCGCAAATATTGTTATGCGAATTGTAATTACAGAGTCGGTGAAACTTTTTCCTAAATATCGCTATTATAGTCCTTTATTACTTCATTTTTACTGTGTTATTCATTAATTCTGCGTGTAGTTGCTGGAATAAATATTAATTGCTATTTATACGTTTCTGATTGAAATATACCATCTACCTATTACTCAAACTTAATAAAATTATAAAAAAACATTTGTGGTGTATCCTTAACAATCCATTCGTTTATTTTTAGTGAACAGCGAGAGCATAACGTGACAATTTTTAAAATTTTATTCTCGTCATAACGTACACGTGGCGCAACCAGGTGTGTTATTCATTTCAAAATTTATAATCCATAAACGGCTGGTGCAGTTTAAGGTCACGGCTATACTGGCTGATAACTGATAAGAAACGATTTCAAATTATGTAATTTTTACATATAGCAAACCTTTGAGTTGATGTTTGTTTATCATAATGCACTGACATGAATAAAATAATTAACTTATCGTCTTATATTATAGTAATTAAATGTTTATGGATGGCTTATAAATATTGCTTGATTTTTCTAAGCTATTCTTAAACTGGTTTACCATTCGTTTTATGTTTTATGATTCGTTCACGTGATATAATAATTGAAGTGCATGAATCGTTTGAAATACAATCCGTTTTATACAAACGATAGAGGAACATTTTAAAATATAAAATCACGTTAATCTTGTGTTCTCTAAAACATCATCGTTTATGTATTTGCATTATAGTAAGATTTTTTGCGTTTTTGAGAATATTTCTGTTAATCTGCAGAGCAAGAGGCAATATGTGACATAATCATTGCAAGAGAGGCAAAGAAACAAACAATACAGCTAGATCTTGGGATATCTCGAATCATCATCCAGTCTTTTGCGTCCATTACTAAATACTAAAAAATAGCCATTCTTTTAAATTTTAAGCTGCTTAAATTCAGTTTGATCTAACCTTTTCCAGTCATCCTTTCAGCGTGTATGCGGTCTTCCTTTACCTCTTTTATTAGTTCTTGGCCGCCATTCCAAAATCTTCTTCGTCTCCGTAAACTTAGAAAATTAATATCCAGTATGAAGAAACAAATACAAAATATGCTTAAGGTCATTATTTATCTCTGCAGTCGAAATTAGAGCTGAAACTTCACAGATGAAGAGACTAATGGGAACAATAGCAATAATATTGTAAGAACTAGTAGCCTATCGGGTGCATCTTCAGGTGGCGGATAGGAAAACGATTGGTGACACTTTGTGGCTAGTGATGGAGGGTAAAGGGGGTGAAATCTTTAAACCCGATATCAAAACCCCGCCACCTCCCCTACTTCCAAGTGAAGGTAACGCGCTGTGGACGGCAGCTCGTTGGAGCAGCTGTAGCGTTACCCTGGAGGCACCAGGCGACAACTTCGTGTAAGTAGCCTTAACCGGTCATGGTTCATTCCGTTGAAGGGTTACTACCACCAATGTGACACTGTTATGATTCACCAGCTTGTCAACGTCTTCTCGGTTTTCCTAAGAGCCCCAATCATCGTTTGACTTTGTGTGTATATATTGATCCGCTAATGTCAAAGCCCTCGTATTGATTTCTCATACACAATGCAAAATTCTCTTCCTAAAATGCAGGGATATATTTAAATTTCTTGTTTTTCAATGATATATCTTAGTTGTTTTTTTTTTAATATCGTTTGAGGATCGTAGTTTTTTAACAGAATGGTACTTCTCCACATTAGCAATGTCAGTATGGCAGTTCTTCGGTAATAACTTTACTGGTCAGTGAATGATTGATGGTCAGATCCCAGATTTTTACTCCATTGGTCTTTTTTATTGGGATTGTTAAAATAAAATTATCAGCTAGGTACTGTGCACTAATAGCCCTTGTTGTACTTCAGCATATGAGGACGGAAACAGAAGTTCGTTCCACCTAGCGAGTTATTCGACTTCGCTGATATGGTTTTCGTAA